TATATAAGCAATTTTAATATTATTAAATTAACAAAATTTCATTTATTTTTAAATTCAATTAAATGGAAAGCCGAAAAAATATACAAAAATATTGCTAAAAATTTAAGATCAGAAGAAATTGGTGGAAAGAACCCAAAAAATCCTTTTTTGAAAATTTGTGTTAAATTTAATGAAATTGGGAAATATTTTATTTATATTTATGGAAGGAAATATTTTAATTATCAAACAAATTCAAAACATTTATTCCAAATTTTTGTGCAAATAGAGAAAACAGATAAAGAGAAATGTTTAAATAAATTTTTTGGAAATATTTATGAAAGAAAAATATTAAAAGAAGAATTTGATAAATTTATTAATATTAAAATTGTTAAAACAAAAAATGAAAAATATAAAGATGGGGACATGATTATTGGTAATGGAATGGATAAATCCAAAATTATTACTCGTGTTTATATACAACCGAGGTTTGAATTGAAAAATAAAGAATAGAAGAAATAAGAAATTTTGTGTTTAAAGAGAAATTTAAAAAAAGAAATTGTCTAAACTAAAAACAGGACTGAGACAAGCTCTCGATTCTCGTTCCTTAACTATTGAAAATAATTTAATAATATTTTTTAATTAAATAATTAAAAAAAAATTAACAGAGAAAAAATTAACAGAAAAAATTAACAGAGTAAGGACTGTCTGAAAAAATTTATACTAAATATTATAACGAGGTTGTACATATCTTAACTTTAGGGTACTATCTCTCTCTTTTAATTTCTTTAGGGATATCAAATGATTAGTTGACAGCTTGGTGTAATGTCAACTCTTCTAGAATTGTTTTAATTAATTAAAATTTTAAAGAATATAAATTTATGATAAAATTATTTATATTCATATAAGCCTGTACCCGTAAGCAAGCCTGGTTGTTTAAAAAGGAATTGTCTAACCAAATTATTCTCCAACTTTTTATCCTATTGGAAAAAAGAAAAATAAAAAAATTTGAATTGGTTTAATTATTTTTAATAATAACTTTTAATAAATTTCTTAGTCATTCTTTAAAAGTTTTTCTAATTTTAATAGTAAATATAAGTTTTAAAAATATAAGGATTAAAAATCAAGAGAACGAGGAACTTTGAGAAAATTAAAAGGATATTTTCAAAAAAAAATACAGTATAAACAAAGTTTTTCTTGTTGGGTGAGGGGGGGGGGGAAGGGGGGGGTGAGGAGGGAGAGGGATTTGTGAAAAATAAAGTTGTACTTTGATAATTAATTACGTCTACGATTTTTTTCAATTTTCTCTTTGCCAATGCGGAAATGTTTGTCTGGACTTTAAGAAAATAAATACTTGGACTAAAGTATTTATTGAAAGTAAACATAATTAAATAAAAGTTTAAATATTTTATAGACATTTTAGCTAAAAAATAATTAAATAATGACTAATATTAACTAAATACATAAAATGCTAATTGAAATTTGGGATAAATAATTAAATAATCACTAGATAGTTCAGTCCAATAAATATTAAAGTTTTGTTCTAATTAATTTCCTCGATCTTCTTTTGTGTTCCCTCCTTTGTTTTGAATTATTTTTAATTCCCGATTGTATCCTCTCCAAAGTTCTCGAAATACTCGTTGTTTGGACTAACCGGCAATTAACCAAACTGAAAAAACAGTCATTCCTTTTTCGTTTTTTAATTTCTTCTTGTTGTTGGTCATTTATTGGGTTTTGTATAATTAATTCAATATTTTCTCCTGAAGCTGAGAGGGAGGAGATAAGGCGATTAACTAAAGAAGCTGAATCATCGTTGGTAGAAGATAATTGAATTTCTTGCCTAAATATTAAAAAATATTAGAGAATAGTTTATAAAATTTAAGCTTATGAATTAGTTAGCTTTAGTGCTTTTTTCAAAATATGAAGGTGTTTGTTAGACTTTTTAATAATTATCCTGAAGCTGAGAGGGTTGTGTCTCTGTAGAGACAAGAGACACTACTGGGAGGGTTATACGAGAAACGTACGAGATATCTCGAAAAATGCCGATACCGATAACCGAGCCTTTTATTTAAGATCCCATCAAGAGAATCACCATTGTTATTTTTGCTGAAATATTTTAAACAAACAATTTACCTATTTAATTCATTTTCATCTGCACCATTTAAGTGAAAAGATTTGCTAATTTCATGATTTCGGACACGTCTTAGTCGAGGATGTAAAACAGCTGAATAAATTAAATCAGCAGATAAAATTAAAATAAATGATTGGATGTTGAATAGTTTAGACATTTGTCTGATAATATTTATGTACTAAAAATTAAAAAAGAAAATTAAAAACTATTTACAATTTATTTGAGATAAATATTAAATTAGTCAAAATTTTATTTATCAAATAACAAGAGTGAAGTTTTAATTTACAAATGAATATGACCAGCATTTTTTAAAAAGGGCGTGCCAAAAAATGTAGCAACTTGCTTTATAATCCTTTTTTAAAAGGACATTAAAATTACTAAATGTCAACAACCTATAAATTAATTTTAGATTTTTGGTATGGTTTCTTAAGTTTTGCGAGAGAAAACATGACGTTTTTTGTGAGACTTTAATTTTTATTGTTAAAAATTGGGACGGAAATACGTACTAAAATACTTTTAACCTTCAAAGGAAGTAAAGTTTGGTAAAATTAAAAGTAAATGAGCACATAAGATTATAAATTTATTTTCTCGATTAATTCCCCTGGGGAATTAATTTCTCAACCTATCCATGGCATGGGGGATTAATCGAGAGGGGGAATTATTCGAGAGAGGGGAATTAATCGAGAAAATACGGTAAATTTATACACAAATACATAATTTATTAATGAGAATCAAAGTTAGAATAATGATTAAGTTTAAGTCAACTTATTAATTCTTACTCATAAATATAAGCAAATCTTCTCTCCATTAAAATTTATTATAAAGATGTGTGTATTTATTATAAATTAAATGTTATATGAGTAAAAATAAAATGCTTTAGAATGCTTTAAAATGCTTAAAACTTACAAAAAAATATGAAATCATTTTAAAACAATGATTGTGGGATCTTTAAAATTTGGAAATAAAACACCCTCAAAGGATTAGATAGTCTAACAATTTACTTACTAATAAATATATTTTATTATTTACTTAACTATATAATTTTTATTGTTTGCTGTTAATTTATTTCTTAAATTTTTAACTAATCCTTTTTAAATATTTAGCTTTTTTTTTAAATTAAAGCATTAATTAAAAACTTGTTTATTTAATAAATAATAATTAATTATTTTAAATAACGTTTACTACTTATTAAATAAATAACTTGATATAATGTTTATTGCTTTAAAATTAAAAGTAAGAAAAAAATAATATTTATATATTAGTTGTTTATATTAAATATTTTAATTTAGTTTGTGTGTTTGTTTTTCTTAAAAATGTTTGGTAAAAAATATTTAAAAAAATGAATTAATATTTTATAAACGTAATTCATATTTAATTAAATTTTGATTGCTTTTCATCATCCATTCACTCATTTAACGGGCAAAATAACAAAAAACATTTTCCTTATTTACAGCTAAAAACTTAATCGTTTCATTAAATCCTTAAAAACATTTATGTAATTTAGTTCTTTCTAATGACCTTTATTAAATACGTGGAAAATGGTATGGCTTTTCAAATAAATTTAAAGAAAAGGGAGTTGATGGACTAAAAATGAGAGGATAACTGGTTGGACTAAATGAGAGGACAACTTTCCCCCTTTAATAAAAAACTTTTCTTTTTTTTTAATTTCACACGTAAAACCATTAAAAAAAGCTTTGAATTGAACTTGTATTTAAATTTAAAAAAATAATAATCTGGATAAATGTGTAGATTTATGGATGGGTTAAATGCTGGCACTAATGGACATTTATCTTTTTATTTTTAATCCCCTTTTGACTTGTTAATTTGCATCTGTCAATTTGACATTTAAAATATTTTTTTATTTAATACTAACTAGAGTAATATATGAATATTCTTAAAATAGAATATAACACTTTAGTTAATCTTTATTTATGATGAGTACTTGGATTTTAGAAAGAGAGATAAAGAGATATGTAATTTTAAAGTTTTTAAGTGCTAGTTTAAATTGAAATTTTTTTAAATTTTATAAAAATTCAAGATTTTTATTTTTTGGTCTTTTCTTTTTAAATTTAAAAAAATTCTTTTTTTAAATTTCTTTTTTGGTTTCTATTTATATCTTATCATTAATATTTTTTTTCTCAAAAAAATTTTTTGGGTAAAATTTCTTGTAACCTTAAACAAAAAATTTTTTCGGAAATTAAGTACTTAGGTAATTGTTTTTTTTTGTTTCACCAATTAAATCCATTCCTAAATTAAATATTATTTTAAATATTTTTTTCTAAATAATTCAAAAACCTGTTTATAAAATATTTTTTCTTTAAATTTATTTGACAATCTATTTTTAAACTTTAAAAGTAAATGTACGCGTGACAGACAATTATTTTTAATCACAAACAAAATGTTCGATGATTAGTTTTAAAAATTTTCTCTCAAAACAAACAAAATTTTTTGACAGATAATGACTGTCAATAAAATCGTATTTTCTCTATTAGAAGAATAATCCCTTTACTTTAATGACCACCTCTAATAGAATGGCTCCTTTTTAATGCCGAAAATTTCCCAAATAAAAAAGATATTCAACCCAACCAAATTTCCATTCGCTTTTCTTATTTTTCTCGGAATTTTTTGGAGTTATTGAAAAAATATAGAAATTATTTTCAATTTAGTATATTTTTTCCAAAACAGATATTTGGGGGAGTAGGTTTGAGAATCTAATGGATATCACGGATTTTTTAAAATTAATCCAGTAAATGCTGTAATCTCGCTGAGATTAGAGTTTACTTAATAGATATCAAAAATGTTAGAAGATTTTAGTGATATCGGAGGATATCGGTGGATTAAAGGGCTCAAAGAGATTTAGAGAGATTTCGAGAGATTTGCATGGATTAACAGTGTATTAGTGGATTGTGAGGATTAAAAGGAATATCGAGGGATAAAGAGAAATTAAGGAGAGATTGAGAGGGATATCGGCAAGTTGAGGAAATTAAGAATGGTATAGAGGAGTAGAAGGGAATAAAGAAATTTGAGGGATTAAGGAGGAATCGGTGAGTGGGAGGAATTAAGTGTGCTATTAATAATTGTATAAAACTTTAAAAAGATGTTTTCTGCAAAATTATTTTTTGCTATTCTAAATCTTTTGTTTTGGTAAAAAGAAATTTGTTATTAAAATTAACGTTTAAAAAAATATAAAAAAAATATAAAAAATGCAATGACCCCCCCCCCCACTCCCAGTTGAATGGCCCCTTCTAAGACAAAGGCCCTTTGGTTGATGTTTGAAAAATAGAATGGCCGGCCATTCTATTAGAGAAAATACGTATTTACATTTATAGATGAAAGATTTTGGCCGTGGAGATGAATTTATCATTATTTTAATATTTATCTTATTATTTTATAAATTTACTCAATTTTTTTCATTTATTATATTATCAATACTGCTTTTATGTTTTTGGTTATGGTAAATAGGATTTTTAAATAAATATTTATTTACCTAATTATTTGTAAGGCGTTTATACGACAAAAAACGGTATTGGTTAAAACAAGGAGTGCCAAGTTCCCCAGCAAATCTTTTTGTAGGTCATATGAAGGATGTAAGATCCTACAATGGAGTAATTGAATTCGAGAAAGAACAATTTAAGAAATTTGGTAAAACATATGGGTAAGAGTTGAATACTTATTTTCTAGACTAGCGATAATTTATTAGCATGTATTTTCTTGACATGAACTGTCTTGTGACAATGGATTTGGATTTAATCAAACAAATTTGCATTAAAGACTTTGCCCATTTTCCAGCTCGTTTTTCAGTTATTTTTTAGTATAAATACTTAAATAAATAATTAATTAAGGGCCTTCCAGATACCCAAAATAAAAAAATAATTCAAAAAAGCCTGCTTAGAAGCATGGTTTCTGTAATCCAAGGAGACGATTGGCGACGTGTTCGCAATCGTATAACTCCAGCATTTACAACGGGAAAATTGAAAAAGGTCAGAAATGTAAATTTCTATAATTTTTTCTTATCAATTTTAGATAATTCCAACGATTGCCGAAAGCTCTAATCACTTGATTAACTATATTTCTCGTAAATATGTAGTAACAAACGAGGAAATACCCTTGAAGGAGTAAGTACTTAAATGTGACAATATTTTATGCCCACATAATATCTAGAATTTTTGGCCGTTTTGCTCTTGATGTGATTGGCCGTTCTGGATTTTCATCAGATTTTAAAACATTTTCGGATGAGGACAGTGAAATAGTTAAACAAACACTTGTTTTCTCAAATCCCGCAAGAAATATGGTCTACTTTGCCTTTATGAGTTATTTTTAAATTTAATTATTTCTAAATTGTGTTAACATATTTCAGCATTCTTTCCCTTCCTAAATAGTTTGCTAGAACGTTTCTGTTAGGGTGGCGGCTTAGTATAAAAGGCGAAGCCTTTTAGTAGTCGAGGAGTTAGTTAGTCAGTCTACAGTTAGCCCATAGTCTAGTCAAAGCCAACGCACAGTCTCGCCTATTTCTATTGTATTGTTGCTTGTGATAAACTTTGTTGTTAGTCAAGTCTTGTTTCTGTTAGTATCGGACACACCGCAAGACGATACATAACAGTGGCGCGGTCGCAGTTATTCGAACAATTCAAGTTAGTTTGCATTAGTCAGTAGTAAAATAATTAGTCAATTCAGATGGATCAGCAAATTCTTGAAAAATTCCTGCAGTCGCAAATTCAGATGCAAGCTCAGTCACAACAGATGCAACAATTGCAAGCTCAGATGCTGGAGATGATGAAAGGCAAAAAGTCAGAGGAACCAAAGTCGGAGGAGAAACAGTCAACAGACTTGTACTGTAAGTTGAAGACGCTAGTTACAGAGTTCCAGGCAGACATCGAAAAGGGGGTCACATTTGAGTCATGGTACCTCAAAAATAAGTCTTACTTCGAGGTAGACGCCAAGTCCTTAGAGGAAAAAGTCAAAGTCCGGTTGTTAGTAGATAAGTTAGGGCAAGTTGAGTATTCGAAGATGGCGCAAAAGTTATTGCCCAGAGAATTAGTTGAGATGGACTTTGGGGAATTAGTCGGAGAGTTGAAAAAGGAATTCTGTGATCCCCGTTCCAAATTAGTCAAACGTTTCGAAGTCATTAAAATGAAATGCCCTTGTATCGAAAAAATTCTTGAGTTTGGAACTCTAGTAAACGCAGAATGTGAAAAGGCGGAAATGGCGTTGACAGTCGAAGAAAGTAAAATTCTTGTGTTCATTGCAGGCATTCCAGAGGAAGCGTTAGATGTCCGGCAAATCAGTCTGAGATTCGTAGAGAAATATTCAAAGTCAGAAGTATGCACATTGAAGGCATTGATGGAGGAAGTCCGTAGCTATTTGGCAAATAAGTCTGATGCAAAGGTATTCGCGGATAACCAGTCAAAGGTCAGATTTGAACCTGAATATTCTGTGGAGGTGAATAATATTAGTAAAACTATTCAGGTCAATCAAAATGTGAAAAGTAGTAAAGACGAAAAGGACAAAAGGAATCAATTCAGTCAAGGAGAAGAACGTCAACATAGTCAAGTCAATGATCGACAATTTAGTCAGACAAGTCGTCCACAATATGGACAGAAGGAGTGCTATAATTGTGGGAAGAGGGGACACATTAGCCGATTCTGTAGATACCCTAGAGGTTGGTTAAATCGTAATAGTCGCCCAGAAGTTAATTATATGTCTATTGACCCTAATAATTCAGGTCCATATGTGTGTATTGCCGATATTGTCGATCCGACACAGATTCTGCTAAAAGAGAAATGGATTACACAGTCAGTCAAGTTAAACGACAAAAACGTTGAGATGATTGTCGATTCAGCGGCACAAATCAATTGTATTACCGAAGCGACCTGGAACGATTTGGGCAAGCCTGAGATTAGTCAAGTCAATTATTCTGGAGTCGGGTTAGGCAAATCGAACTTCAAGATAGAAGGCAAAGTCAAGGTCAAGGTTGAGTTATTTGGGAAAACCTCGGAAGAAGAAGTCCACATAGTCGAAGGAAACATTAATATCATGGGACTTCCGTGGTTAAACAAATTCGGGACAAAATCGCCAGTCTTGTCGCAATATTTTGCAAGAGGAAGTCAAAACAAAAGTCAAAAGTGGAAAGATTGGAGAAGCCCAAAGTCCAAGATACAAGAGACGCCGATTCGAAATAAAGAATTCAATAGTCAAGAATCGAAGAAACCATTCCATAGTCAAAAGAAGAAAGCTTGGCGAAGAACGAATAAATTCGAAAATGGAATGGAAGTCTTAGTCAAAAACACGAATCGTAGTGGTAAAACAATGTGGTTAGCAGGGAAGTTGATGAACAAAGTCGGGCAAATTTGGAAAGTCCAAGTGCCATCATTGCGTAGCATAGTCAGCCGTGAGGAGTGGTTTATTCGAAAGAAAAAGTGGTTCGATGATGCAACAATGAAAAGTCAATCAAAAGAGGATCAAAGGTCGAGCTCGGTTGAAAGTCTGGGGGCAGAAGACAAAGAGAAACTTTCAGCGATCTTTAAGAAGAACATCCGGATCCTCCAGAAAGAAGACGAATTGCAGGACGTGGACATCGAACTTGTGAGCGAAGAAAACATGAAGCAAAAAGATGAGCCAATGCACGCGAGCACTGGAACGGAAGATGATCGGAAATAGAGGGAATGTAAATAAGAAGTAAATAATTGTGATAATATTGTTTTTGTAAATTTTTGTTTGTAATTATTGTATATCCCCTTTTTGTTTGCTCACATTGTATTTTGGCCCTTTGTATGTATTTTCAATGTTTTGTTTGCGTTGGCTAGTAGTTTTTTTGAAGTCCACCAAGTCTAGTCGGAAGCGTAGTCCCGACTTAATTAAAGAAGGGAGGTGTTAGGGTGGCGGCTTAGTATAAAAGGCGAAGCCTTTTAGTAGTCGAGGAGTTAGTTAGTCAGTCTACAGTTAGCCCATAGTCTAGTCAAAGCCAACGCACAGTCTCGCCTATTTCTATTGTATTGTTGCTTGTGATAAACTTTGTTGTTAGTCAAGTCTTGTTTCTGTTAGTATCGGACACACCGCAAGACGATACATAACAGTTTCTTTTCTTTTGATTTATGGGATATGCCTGCGCAAAGATTTTTCCACGGTATTATGTCCAAATTGTATGATGAACGTAAGGATGATCCTGAGGCGAAGGATGTGGGTTATTCCGGGATGCTAGAAAGTGTTTACTTAGAAATATATTTATTTAGAAATATAATGACATATTTCAATTACTCATGAATGCTGTAAATGATTCTGAGGCCTCCGAACTAGAGGATGTTACAAAGGGTCAACCTACCGATGAACTAAAAAATAATTTGATAACGAAACAGTATGATAAATATCTCAGCAAAATAGAGCTTTTTGCTCAAGGGCTTATACTTCTAATTGCTGGGTTAGAAATTTATTCAAAACTAAAGCTATGGTTTAAATATTTTTTGTTTAAACAGATATGATACAACAGGTTCAGTTTTGCAATTTGCTATTTATATGCTTGCAATGAATCCAGAAGTTCAGGCAAAATTGAGAGAGGAAATTAATTGTGTGCTTGGGGAAGAAGTAAAAATAGATTTTATTTTTAAATAAATTCATTTCAGGAACAAATTTCCTATGAGCATTTAAAAAGGATGGAGTATCTACAGGCAGTTGTTCAGGAAACTTTAAGAATGTATCCGCCAGCTCCCTCGTAATTAAACTTTAATAAATCAAAATTATGCACCTATTTTCTTAGCTCCAATCGTGAATGTAATTCTAATTTAAATATAAACGGAATTAATTTACGCGAAGGAGATTTAGTTTTTATACCAATCTATTCTATTCAACATAATGAAGAATTTTACCCCGAACCTGAAAAATTTAAGCCGGAAAGGTAATTGCTTCTTAATTATACTTCTAAATAAACCATTTTTAAAATAAAAATTATTTAAAGATTTATTCGGGAAGAAAAAACTTCTTTGGATCCGTTAGCGTTCTTAGCCTTCGGATTAGGCCAAAGAAACTGTATTGGAATGCGTTTTGCTGAATTCCAAATGCATGTAGTCATTGCTCTTATTGTCAGGCGTTTTAACTTCAAGCCGGGTCCAAACAGTCCGGTTATTTAAAATTTAAAGAAATTTAACAATTATCAATTCAGAGTCTACCCCTAGAACTTGAATCAATTATGCTTTTACGTCCTAAGGAAAAACTTGTAGTTTTGGCTGAGGATTTGCTGTAAAAATATTTTTGTTTTTAAAATAATGCGAAAATTCTATAAAATCTAAAAACATAAATAAAAAAATTTAATTTAATATTTAATGGTTATAAATAAATGTTTATATAATTAATTTTTCTGGGAACAATACTTTTGGATAATAAATAAAAGAGAATTTATTTAAATATTAACAAGTGAGAAAAAAAATTATCCTATGTAAATTTCTAATTCTAAATTTTATTTGTTCTTCTAACATCCGCGTATTTGTTCACCCAATATTTTATGAAATTCGCCAATACTTTTATCTGTAAAAACTTTATTAGGATCTCCACTAATCCTAGCCAATTCATCCCTAGCAACAACCATTGTTTCGTTATTATTTACAGCAACAGCAAAAATATTGGGAATAAGTTTATGAAGTTCTATTGATTCAACTGAAAAGTCATGTTGTCCAAATCCATCAGTAATAACAACTGCTATCGGGGTTGCCACACCTGGCCTGGCACCTCGCTCAATTGTATACTCGGCAATTGCCTAAATAATTGATTAAATACTAGTTTCACTTAAGTAAAAAAATTAAAAAAATTGTTCTGGTTTTTAATCAGAATTTTAATATTTTAATTTTATTATTTTAAACCAAATGTTTATATAAAATTCTGATATTTGTGAAAAAAATTTTTGTTCATTTAATATTCTGATTTTATTTTGGATTAATAATTTTCCAATTCCTTCTAGATACAATTCTGATTTTTTCAGAAGTGCTTTACTTAAAACAAACATTTTAAATTTTGATCTTTCACATTTACTTAAAATTATATTTATTTCAGAAAATGTTCTGAACAATTAATTAGTAGTATTCATTACCTGTCGTAGAGCAGAATGTATAGCTGTAATTCCATCACTAAATGGAATGTCATTGAGCAAATAAAGCAACCTTTCTTGACTTTGAGGTGATAAAAATGATTGTATTGTGCGCACTTTATCTGCCGCTGCAAATTTAATAAGTGCGACATGTGCATTCTTGGGACCCAACCGCAGTTTTCGAATTATATCTGCAGCTAAACGCTTTTCTTGTTCAAAAGCCTGTTCCACACTGCCAGATGAATCAATTAAAAGAATTAAATCAATAAGACATCCAGGTCTGAATGTTGTTGTTGGTGATGAAAATGTGCTTGAAGTTGTAGATGGTGTTGATGTCGATGAGGATATGATTGATGGAAGAGGTGAACGTGTTCTTTGAGAAGAAATTATTTGTGTTGTTTTAGGTTCTAATATTGTTTGTTGTTTTCGGGAGATTCTAAAAGAATTAATTGATGTTGCAGTTGGTCTTCTAGTAGTAAAATCAGTATTCTGAAAATGTTTAATTCAATAATTTATTTTTCAACTTATCCGGAAATGTTTATTTTATGATGTCTAGTACCTTTCCGGAATGTTTAAATTTAAAATGTTTAGTTAACTTTTCCGAAACATTAAATTTGATTAAACATTCCAGAGATGTTTATTTACCTTTTCCGGAAATGTTTATTTTATGTTTTGTTTCTTTTCTGGGAAGGTTAATTTAATTTCAGATGTTTTCTAATTTTACGGAAATGTTTAATTTTATGATGTTTTGTTTATTTTCCGGAAAAAGTTTAATTTTCTGACGTTTATATAACTTTTCCGGAAAGGTCTAATTTTCTGATGTTTTTCCGGAAAATGTTTAATTTTCTGATGTTTTATTTGTTTAATTTTTGTTTATTTGTTTAAATGTTTAATTTTATTTGTTTAAATGTTTTATTTGTTTAAATGTTTTATTTGTTTAAATGTTTAATTTTCTGATGTTTAATTTTCTGATGCTTTTCCGGAAAGGTTTAATTTTAGATGTTTTGCTAATTTTCCGGAAAAAGTTTAATTTTCTGGGTTTTGTTTACTTTCCGGAAAAGGTTTAATTTTCTGATGTTTTTTTTACTTTCCGGAAAATGTTTAATTTTCTGATGTTTTGTTTATTTTCCGGAAAATGTTTAATTCTCTGATGTTTTATTTATTTTCCGGAAAGTTTAATTTTCAGATGTTTTGTTTATTTTCCGGAAAAAGTTTAATTCTCTGATGTTTTGTTTATTTTCCGGAAAATGTTTAATTTTCTGATGTTTTTAGATGATTAAGTATAAATCCTATCTATTTCTAAACATTTGTTTATATTTTTGATTTGTTCTGATTTAATTTCTATAATACAAAAATTACTAACCAACTCATCTCTTCTTCTTTGACTAAAAACATTGTTTCTGAAATTATTTTCATTAATTCTTCCAACATTTTGTTTATTAGTTGTTTTCTGTAAAGCAATTGTTGATAATTTTGTAGTAGAAAGATTAATTAATGTTGGGGGTATTGTACTAGTAACAATTATACTCTTTGTTGTATTTATTCTAGACAAGACAACTCTCTCAATATTTTTTAAATTATTTTCATTTAATTTTTGTTTGTTAGGCAAAACAATTTTATTTTCCAAATTTAAATTAAAATTTTCTTCTTCCTCTTTTTTCAAAGGTAAAACAGCTACTATATCTTTTTGACGTTGATTTTTCTCTTCTTTTCCTTTTTCCTCAATTTCTTCAATAATTTTCTTTTCTTCAATTAATATCCTTTTTGAAGAATTATTTTTGATTTCTCTTCTTTCAAAAGGTTCTTCCTCCATTTCTTCATCATCCTTTGACTTTTCTATTTGTTCTTCACTTCCTGCTACAAAGAAGTTTGAAGAGGAATTTAATTGAGATTCGGATGGTTGACATTCTAATGCTTTGGCCAAAAGAAAGTGAGCAAATTCAGCATTTCTATCATAGGGGTAAATACGTTCAGCAGAGCCAGTAAATGCACTCAACTGTTAAATAATAACATTTGAATAATTGATGTTATTTACTTATAATAAAATAACCATACCGTTTGTTCATCCACTTCCTTAGAACTATCTACTGCATGACAGCTAAGACCTGGGGTCTTTAATTTAAAAAGTTTTAAATTTAAAATATTAATTTTTTACCTTCTTAATTAATTCCCCAACCCTTTTTCTCTCTTCCGGCCCTTCCAAATCATTCTTCCCATCTCCCACAATTAAAATAAGCCCATTAGATTCAGGTCTTCTCCCAGCCCCATTATAATAATTAATTGCTGTTTCGACAGCTTTCGAATAATTTGGACGTATAGGGATTGAACGAATCCGTTCAATTTTCTTAAATATAGATTCTCTATCCTGAACTTCAGAAAAATAAAGTTCTTGGTGTTGTTCTCCAATCGAAATAACTGCTAAACGGACTCGATGACTGAGAGGAAGAGAACCTTTAATGAATGATGAGAAAAATTATAGGAAAAAAATAACCGAGAACATCTAGAAGTAAATAACGATTAGAACTCAATTTTGGATCATTCCCTGTTGAACTAATGTCTGTATTGTCTAGAACAACAATTAAATCAAGTTTTGCTTTTTGGCAAGTGTTACTGTCATCTCTCTATAAATTTTAGTTTTTAGATAAATTATGTTTAATATGTATACTAGGGTTGTTGGCGTCCGGTTATTAACCGGTACCCCCGGTTTTCGGTTAATCCAAATCTTAGAAACCCGGTTTTCGGTTTTGAGTTTTAGGCAAATACCGGTTTTATTTTGGGGGAATTTTTAATAAAATCACTCATTTTCACAAATTTCCGGTTTTCGGTTTTTAAAATTTTCTAAAAACGGTTAATTTTTGGCAAAAATTTTCAAAAATTTCGGTTTTAAAACCGGTCGCCAACAACCCTAATGTATACCTGAAAATCTCCAAATTCTCGAGGACCATTATCACCCCCAACGCCTTCTTTATTCTTTTTATCGTTTTTATTCAAATTTTCAATTTTCTTTTCGGAATTATTATCACATTTAATATTATTATTTATTAGCCCAACAATATCTTCCAAAAATCGTTCAGTAGAACCGTCTCTATAAATTCTTTTTTTATCCCCAACATACTTAAAAATAAATTTAATTTAAGTATTTTAATATTAATTAATTTACGTGTTCCAATTCTCTTAAATCTACTTCCTCCCCAAGTGCTACTCCAAAACGTTCAGCCCCTGATTGGGCAAGTCTTTTACTTGCAGCCAAAACATTTTCCCATGGATCTTGACTCATTCCGTCATTCATCAGAACAATTACCTTTAAGGACATGAAAAATGTTTTGAACAATATTTATTTGGGGAAATGTTTATTTAAAATTTTGGTTTTTCTGAAGTAGGTTATTTGAATGCAAATTCTTAAGGAAAATAAATTATTAAGAAATTTCAAAAATATTTTCCAAAAATTTTAATTAAAATTTTTTTAAACAAATTGAGGACTTGTAAAGCGTCATCTCTTCTTCCTTTCTCCAAATCCTGAACAGCCAATTCTACAGCTTTTGAAGTTAAAGTACTTCCACCCCTATAACTAATATCTTCTATTGCTTTTCTAACCATCTAAATAAAAATTTAAAATTTAATTTAGAAAAATTATTTTTGCCTTTCTTTCACGTCCCAATCCCAATGTTTGTCTCAAAACGGGGACATTAGTAAAACTATTTATTCCAATAGCAACATGTGTATCATCTACACTTATTGGAAGTTTTTCAATTAATGAAAGGGCTAATTCCCTTTGGTGTTCAAATACACTTTCTCTTGAAGAAGAAGCATCCAAAATTATTATCTAAATTGGTTTAAAAACCTTTATTGGTTAAAATTCTGATTTTTTGGGAATATTTAAAATTATTATCCTTTCTGAAATTATTAAGATGAAATTCTGACTTTTTTAAAATATTTATTAAAAAGGATTCAGTAATTAAAACAAATATATATTTACCAACCAGATCCATTTTTGAGTAGCTACAATTTGCTAAAATATTTTTCTCATTATTATTTCCATTATTTTCACTTATTTGCACAGATTTTACTTCTTCATCCCTTTCAAATCTATCATCATTTTCTTCTTCATTTAATTCTAAAATTCTTGTTTTCTGAACAATTCCAGCATGTGCTTTAGCTGGCTTTATTAAATTATTGTCTGTATTGACCTTAAAATTAATTCAGATAAATTACAAAATATTTTAATTGAAAATTTTGAGTGGAAAAAACTTTGAAATTGTTTTTCTTAATAATTTAATTTGGGAGCAAAAACAATCTAAAACCTACTTCAGTTAAAGATTCTTCTTTATGTCCAATACAACCAACAACTGACTGTCCAACCTCCTTTAAGAAAAGTACATCACTTCCACGATCTGTATAAATTCTTTTAGGGTTCTTTATATATTCCAATAATTCATTTTGTGCAAAATTATCAGAAAAACTGATTGCATAAAGCTTTAAATTAATTTAAAAAATTAATTTAAATTTTTTTTTAAATATTTTAGACTTCATTAGTTGTGTTTCTAAGCTTTTGTGAGGCTATTTGAACCTTTGACCATTCATCTTGACTATGTCCATCAGTTATTAATATAATAATAAGTCGAGCATTTGAACGATGCCCTCTAGATATTTCTTCTAATGCCTACAATTTTTTGAAGTAAAATTTAAAAAAAATTTCCCAAACAGTTTCTGAAGCAGCCACTAAAGAAGTAGGCCCTCCTGTATGTTCAATACTTTCAATTTCTTTAAGAATATCATTTTGTTTTCTTCCAATAACAAAAGGAAATTGTAAAATTGCTTTTTTATTGAAAATAATTAATGAAATTGATAAACGGTTCTTTTAAAATAAAAAAAATAAAAATACAAAAAATAAATAAAATTTACATTAAAATCTTGTTCAGGTAAAATACTAATTAAATCAAGAGCAAACTTTTTTTGAGCAACAAAATCTTTCTGAAAAATTAATAGAGAAAATAAAATTAATGTGTGAAGAATTAACTATACATTAATATATCCTTTTTTCGAGTAAGGACAAGACAGTGTCATTATTATTAAAAACAGACTACTACATAAGAACACAAAATTTTGTGGACTAATAAATCGGCTCCTATACAACTCATCCAATCCTTAACTCATCTACGCTTTTTGACCGAGTAGATGAAAGGATTGGATGAGTTAAGGGGACACGAATAAATCAGAGAACCTTTAAAAATGTTTTAAGGGTGGCTAAACAACATGGCTAACAACTCTAATATAATCTGAGATTACCATAATTAAAATACCTCCACACTAGTAGAAGTATCTAAAATAAAAAGAATATCAACATTTTGAATATTACAATCATTAACAGAAGTACTAGCTGTTGTTGTTCTACTAATTAATTGACTAGTAATTGTTGAAGTTTCAGAATTTTTAAACAAAGTTGGGAAAAATGTTGAAGAAGAGATAGTTGTTGTTGGTGAGATAATTAAAGAGGGAGAGATTGTAGAAGAAAAAGAAATGGGAAAGTTTTGTTTTTGTTCTGATTGTTGTATTGTGTTTGGATTAATTAATCTTTTGAAAGGAAAATCAGAAATTGCTTCTAATTTTGTTAAATTCTGATTTTTATTATTATTAATTGTTTCTGATAATTTAAGAGAAGTTTTAATGTTTTTGTCACAAATCAGAATTTTTTCGATATCTTCAAAAAATTGTTTTGTTCGATCATTTATATAAACTTTCATTTCATTTCCAGCTAACAATTCTAATTCACTTTAAAATTAAATATTTTAAATAAAATATTTTTTTTTCTTTAATTTACCGAAAGAAATGGTCATGGCTAACAGTTACTGCAAATACCTCAATTCCAGAAACTTGTAATCTACCAGCTGTTGCAACTACATCTCCCCAAGGATCTTGGCTATTCCCATCTTGGAAATAAAAAATTTAAATTAAAAAATAAAAGTTATAATATTAGGCTGGGTTTCTTTTGGCTCTGTTAGTAAAATCGTCTTTAGCGTTTATTATCTTTCAAGCTTATAACAGCTCTGATTTAAAAATTTTCAAATCTCGGGTCCTGTTTCTGAGTTTTTCTGTTGTAACCTGACCAGAATCTGAGTTTCAGAGTTAACTCCCGGAAAATTTAGTTCTGTCAACAGTAACAGATTCAATGATATCGGTCTACACCAGGTCAGAGAGCTGACGTGGCTCAAAAAATTAATATTTAAAGTTTGATATTTTCGGTTAAAGTAATAAGGATTTTTCAAGGAGAATGCTGATCTATATTCTTTAGATAAATTCTGATTTAAAAGTACCAGAAACTAAAACAATAATTTGTCTAGCATCAGAACGTCTCTTTTTCTCAATTTGTTCCAAAGCTAAATTAATTCCACTAACTGCAGAAGTACTTCCTCCAGTGTGTTGAATGTTTGAAATTGCTTCAAAAATTTTATTTTTTTCTTTAATTTCTCCAATAGAAAAATGCAATAAAGAATTTCGATGGAAAGAAACTGCCCCAATTTGGATATTTCCATTTTCAAAATTTTTGTCTGGAAGGCGAGAAATTAATTCTAAAACTAAATCTAATTGTTCTCTAAATTCTTCTTCAACACTTTGTGAAGTGTCTATTACAAAAATTAAATCAAATTTGCAATCAAAATTGTTGTTGAGTGGTTGAGGGGAATCACGTTGAATTTGGCTAATCTAATATATACAGGGTGCGGCAAATTTAGCGCCGACTTTATTTTTTGAATAACTTTCTTCAAACTCAATGAAAATTTATAATTCTTTTTTTATTTGATTCCCAACACTCTAGGAAACTTTTTGGTACCAAATATTAGAAATTTGGTTTACAGGTAATAAAGATATGTCCGAAGTAGTCTATAAGTCGTATTAAGAAATATATTTTTATGCCAAAGTTTACTTTACCATAGCTTCGTTCAAAGTCATCCAATCTTACTAATTTTGGTACCAATCGACTCGTCTCGACGAGGAGCATCGAAATAGTCTATAATTAGATTTTTGAAAATTTCACCTAAAAAAGTCAAATTTAACATCAAGTTCCAAATTTATCATTTAAAGGCCCATATCTCAGCTCAAGAACAAGATAATCGCCTAGTTCTTACGTCATTCGAATCAGACAAAAGAGCTTATTCGAATGATATAAACATCCTGAATATCAGACACGCGGTTTTTAAATCAGAAGACTTTTGGTTCAAAAATTTTTGCCAAAACTTTAAGAAAAAATTCTCAAATTAATTTAAAAAATTTAGAGAATATTTTTGTATCAAAAAGTTTCCTAGAGTGTTGGGAATCAAATAAAAAAAGAATTATCAATTTTCATTGAGTTTGAAGAAAGTTATTCAAAAAATAAAGTCGGCGCTAAATTTGCCGCACCCTGTAGTTTAAATTAAATATATGAGTAAATTCTGATTTTTTAAAATAAATTCTGATTTGAATTTTGTTTAAAGAAATTATGTATAGAGGGTAAATTCTGATTTTATTTCAGTTTTATTTAAAGCAAATTAATTCTGGTTTTTTTCAAGCTTATTTATATTTTATGTCTGTTTAAAATAAATTCTGATTCTCCTTTCTAGGAAAAGTTTTCTTAAAAAAATATTACAAATCAGAATCACCTTTCCATCATTATGTTCATTTCTAAACCGAAGATCTCTCTGTCTTTTAATTCCCCCAAAATTATTTTTATTAATTAAAACAGAATCTGCCCTCCTAATTTTCATTTCATCTCGGCATCGAATAATTCTTCTTTGGAATTCATCAACAAATTTAGCCATTTGTCCCTGTCCTCTAGCATTAAATAATCGAAGAAAGGAAGGTTTAGAAGAGAATGTATTGCTAATAGAAATTTGATTTTGAATATTTTCATTAAATTTTAAATTTCCAAAATTTAATCCAAAAATTGCAGTTGTTTGGCTTTCCAATGCTTTTTGTAATTTTTTATTATTTCCATTCTTTTCAGAAGAATATCCATCAGTTAGTAAAACAATAGCAGATCTTGCCTCATCTCCTCGGCCAAATTTAAATGTTTCTGTGAGAGCATACCCCAAAGCTTCTGTTAAGCTTTTGTTAGTAAACTTGTTTTCCAAAATCTGCTTCAAGTAAAATTCTGATTTTTTTAATTTATAAAATTCTGATTCAAGTTTGTTTAACGAAATTTTGATCTCAAGTTCTTTTAATAAAAATTCTGATTTTAGGGGTTGTTTTTAGAATATTCTGATTTTAAGTTTATTGTATTACAGCTTGCTTCAAGTTTATGTTAAAATAAAACTTTCTATAATTTCAAGTTTATTTATAGACAAATAATTTATTTGCTATTAAAATTTGTTAAACAAATAAAATTTTAAAATTTCCACCTCATCATTTGTTGGCCAGTCAATACGGTCAATAGCAAAAAGAGCATCATCCAGAGTTAAAGGCTCCTGTTTTTGTAAAGGATTTCCCGACCAAATAGTAACGCGAATTCTTTGTTGGAATTGTTCGGGGGGAGCTTGTCTAATTGTATCTTTGGCTGCCCTCTTAAAAACATCAAATTGTTCAGCAGAAGTTTGATTAGTATCAGCGTTTAATAAAATTATTAAGTC